AACCGGCTTAGAGACCAGTCCAACCGGAGCGCATTTTCATAAGTGAAACAAGCGAAATGAAGGCGAAATAATGCACACGCTCTGGGCATTTGCCACAGCAGGAAACCACCACCAGAATGTACTAGAGGATAGGTGTAATGGTAAAAGACTTAATTTCCTGCGTATTTTGCTTCAACTCAACAAAAGCGGTAAGGAACGCACGCGTTCTTATTTTAATTGAACAAAAACAAAGCGCAGGAAATCAGTTATTTTTCCTCTACCTGTCAATCTGTTGTGGTGACAAAGGAGCTAATTTGTTTAATTCACCAGAACAGGCGTGCATTCCTTACCCTCGTTTGTTTCATTTAATTGGATTAGATCTTTTGCAGTATTTTCAAGTGAGGGGATTTACCAAAAGGGATTCCAAAGAGAGAGTCTCCATCATAATCAAGGTCAGATTCTTCCTACATTCTAGTTGTACTTTTCTCCTTGATGAACCATTAATGCTAGCACCTTAGAGCTAGGGACCAGGCCCGGTTGCGATGGCCCTCGGTTGATATTTTGCACGAAAGACGAAGGAAACCACGGCTCATCCCGGTCCGTGTTTCGTCGTCGAACCCACTTTGAGGAAGGGGCAGTTGAAGATGTTGGCGCCAGATTTGCCAAATTCGTACAGTATCACTCGCGATCCTGGACTACACCCGCCCGTCAAGTCTTGGAAGCGAGGTGAAGGGACAGACCACGCACACTAAGACGTGCAATTTCAAAATTGTGCCAGACACAACAAGAGCTGTTCCAGAAGGTCGATGCCTTTGCGGATGCGACTAGCCAGGGTTTGCAGACAGAGGTTCGTCGCAGTGTTCAGTTTGGTGGATGTATGTTTCGATCGGGTTTCTTTGCTGATGCGTCGATTGGGTGGTGTCAGGGAATTTCTCCTGGAGTCTGATGTGTCAGTCAGTGCAGCATGCCTCCCCTTGGGTTGATGCATCCAATGATTGTAACAAACCTATGGATATGAAATCGGCGACTGGTTCTGGGAGGATGGAGAAGCTGGTAGTCAGAAAACGCTAAAGACCTTCACCACACCCGCGCGTGGGCGTAGTCCGGGATGGGTTGCTCAGTGAGGGAAGCTGAGGTCCGAGTTCGGAGGCTTTTTTGAACTCCATGCCAGATTTGGAGAAGCTGGTGGTTGCGGATGTGGTGAATTGGAACACCTATTTGCTGATGGCGGTTTGTGGTCGAACGGAAGCGGAGGCCCGGCAGAAGTTGGGTGACGTCTTAGATTTCGCCCTGAACACCGAGCTGAAGGCTGCGAACTTGAAGAAGGAGACGCTGCTGACAGGTAGCACATTGGAGGTTTTTCAGAGCACGATCTTGGGGAAGATGGTCTCATCGGCCCTGAAGCTTTGGAATGAGAAGCTCCAGAGATCTGTGAAGATGGTGAGTGCAGAAGTGGTCTACGGAGAGGGTGACGAGATGATCTTCGGGGAGAGAAGGCCTCGAATGGCCGTGGTGGTGCAACTCGCTGAGGAGCATGCCGAGTTGAGAGCCAAGCAAAAATTCGGTGCTGTGAAGGAAGTCGTGGAGAGCGAACGCGATTCGCCAATGCAGAACATGGGAAAGTTCCTGGAAGGTGCGTGGGTGAGCCACGAACGAGTTCAGTTTCCTGGCACCAACAACGCACAACAATATTTTGCAGGTCTCTCGAGTGCCATGACATGTTTTATGCACGAGTTGCAAGTGGAACGCGGTCTTTCCTGCTATGCCGTGGCTGCAGACCCCACGGTTTTGGTGACAGCCGTGGAGCGTTTGCAGAACCAGCGCGCCCGCAGCGACAAGGCTGTACAACAACTCTCCGAGATTTTGCGCCTTGCGCCGGCCCTCCAGGAGAAAGGCTACATCCAAAGCAAGCACAAGGACATGAAACCACTAAGTTTCCAATAACTGTGTGGGGTCACAGGGCTTTGCGGGCTTTGCTACTAGGGGGTTGCGTCTGGAGGAGCTGTTTGGGCCCGTGCAAGAGATCTCCGTTGGCCTGGTGTTGCAGAGAGGCCGCGTGAATGATGCGATGCGACACGTGACGCCCAGCTGGATCAGCCGATACGAGACCGTCTGTATGGGAGACACAGGATACCATTCACTCATCGATCGCATCATGAAAACCATCGTGCAAGCCCTGAGCTTCGCGGCAGAAGGCCTAGAATCTCCAGAGGTCACTTGCTGAGTTGTTGTTTCTTAAGCAATGTTTCGAAGGGTCTTTTCTTAGAGAGATCGCCAGCAATGGTTTGTCGAACATACTGCCGTCGCTCACCCACGGTGTGAGCCAGCGAGGCGGGAGGTTGTGTGAGGTTTAGTTAGAGTGAGGTGAGAGTGAGAGGTGAGTGGGTGGGTTGGTGAGGTGAGTGACAGAGCGTAAGTCCAGCGCTTTCAGAGCATCGTGCCTGCTACGTAAACAGTGTGAGCCCCAGTCGCAGGCAAAGAGGCACAAAGAAGCTTGGCAAGGCTGAAGAGCTGACAGACGCATAGTTGGTGACCACGGTTGGTGATGAGTTGAATGAGTTGGCGTCAAGCACTGTGGCGAATGATGAGTTGATGACGTGTAAAGTAAGCGCACTTTCGGGCGCCTTCTACTCTTGGGTATGCACCCGAGGTGTTGCTGCTTAGGCCCAGGCCTTTGTGATTCCTTTTAGGGACGTTTCGATTGCGATTGGCCTGAGGCCAAGCAAGTCCCGGACCGGTGTGCCTTCCTGCTGAAGTGCAAAGAAGCCGTTGGTCGAGAGCGAGGTCTGATGGCGGCGAAGAGTCGTTCGAAGCTGGACGACGAGAGCAGAGCCAAGCAGCTCTTCAAGGAAACGACGGAAGGCGGAGCAGACGCCTTGAAGCAGATAATGGAGGATAAACTCCTTGGACCCGCACCAGAAAGCCAGACTCTGTCAGATGCGTTTGCAGAGGCGCGTTTGCTCTACACCAATGACGCGAAGGTACCTTCAGACAGGGCAGTGGAATTGTTTGAGAGGTTTACGCAGTGGATTCAGCTTGCATATGGCCACATTCAAACTGAGATTGAGGCCTTGAGTGAGGACATACCAGCTGAAAGCACGGCTCTAGCCCGTCCTGAAATGCACTTGGGCGTGCAATTCGAGGAGCAAGTGGATGATGGGCCGCTTGGGCTCCTGATGGCAGACATGACTGCCAATGCCTTCAAAAACGTGGTGGTCATGGCTGGGGCAGGCATTTCGGTGTCTGCGAATCTGCCAGATTTCCGATCCAAGGGCGGGCTCTACGACCAGTTGAGGCAGACCACCAACATAACCACCCCAGAGACCATCTTCACCAGGCAATTTCTGAAAGAGCAACCGCTGCTCTTCTACAAGGTGATGCAGCAACTCAGGGCGGATCATGTGTCCCCTACCCTTACGCATGAGTTCCTGAAGAGGCTGCAGGACAAAGGGATTCTGAGGAGAGTCTACACACAGAACATTGACTGCTTGGAGCGCAAGGTTGGCATTGAAGAGTCGTTGTTGGTGGAATGCCATGGGACCACACGACGAGCGAGGTGCGACGACTGTCGGACCTTCATCTCTAAGGAAGAGTATTTCGACCAAGCCGATCCACCAAGGTGCAGGTGTGGCAGCGCGCTCCGTCCGGACATCGTACTCTTTGGAGAGCCATTGCCTGACAACTTTAGCCAACACAAGAGCGATTTCCAAAACGCGGACCTGCTGATCATCATGGGCACTTCTTTGAAAGTTCATCCTTTCGCCTCCCTGCCCAAGCTCATCAAGCCCACGTGCGCCTTGTTGGTCATCAACCGAGAGTTCCCACAGAGCTTGCAGCTGCACCGCCAGGTCCGGACCTTGCGATCGCGCCTGAGCGGCACCAAGCTGCGGAAGCACGTCTTCTTAGGTGGTGACTGCGACACGAGCGTCCGCTGGCTCATGCAAGAGCAGGGTTGGGCACAACGACCAGTTCAAGTCTCCGTCTAAGACGGGCCAAGATATTCTGGCCCAAGAGAGCCAGAATAGCTTCAATTGCAGGCTGGAGGCCGCAAGAGTTAGTGTGCTCAACATTTGGCAAGGCTTGAAAACCGGAAGTCTATATTCATGCCGTGGCTTGATGTACCATGCACACGCTTCTTTCACTGCTTAGGCTCATTTTATCGGCTAGGTTTCATTATCACGGAGAGCTCTGTTCGGATTCTAGGTTCGCGTGGTTAGTGCCTTTTTGGAATTGCCTCGCTGCCTTAGGCGCTCTTTGCATGCATGGAGTGCAGGCACGTGGACTGTAAACCGCATCATGCCACCGCAAGCTTGGATGAACTGAGTGTAGCGTCGGATCGAGCATGACTGAGCTCAGTACTGAGCTCTGTTAGGGCTGCTTGCGCAATGAAGTCCGTCCTTGTGCTACGGCACCGCCCCATCTGCCACTCCTTCATCGAGAAGATGACCGGTGAGGGCTGCAGCTATGAGACATCCGTGCTCTGTGAGGAGCCAAGGCCAGCTTGTAATTAACCGTGTGATGCTCACGCAGCAATTCGAAGATCGCGATGGAGACAAGTGCCTCGAATTCAGAAAGCTTCTCAGCTTCGGCCGCAAACACAAATGAAGATCTGCACTCCGCACGATGTTCTCGGAGCTGCAGGATTGGGATGTGTCAGGCATGCAGGATGAGCTCCAAGATCTCAAGATGAAGCTGATCTGCGGCCGTGCCACCTCGATAGACCGCGCTGCCAAGATCGTGAGCTGTGATGTTCGTGATGCGACGGCGCGCGAGCTATTACATCTTGGTCTTGGCCACGTGCTCCTCCTGCTGCGTGTCCCCGATGTCGAGCATGACAGCATGACCATCACGCAGAAGAAGGTATTTTGTTGGCCGAACGATCCTGTGTCTTGGCCCCCTTGCGCCCCCGTCTACTGCACCATTGAGGATTAGGAGGTGCTTTTGGCCAAGGCGCAGAGTGCCATGTCTTGGAGGTGGTTCCATCCATTCTGCCGAAATACTGTTACCGAACAGGCTGGCCAGGTCATCATGAAGAAGATCACTGACAAGGGCAAGCAGGCCGGGGGGCGTCTCCCATGCATCTCTGAGTAGTCGCACATAATCTGTCAGCATCAAGAACAGCTGAGAATAGCGTGTAGATGTGAGCTCAATCTACTGGTGCTTAGATGCTTGGTGCCTGAAGATCACGATGTCAGGACGCTTCAGCGATGCCAGGCAAAGTGTCGGGCATGTAAAGCAGCTCTATGAGAGTCTGTTGATTGCGCTTGAAGTCCGACGTGTTTCTGCTTGCTAACCTGTGATTGTGACCGCCAGGTCTCCACCTGTCTCCGCACTCACAAGATCGCGATGACTGGCTCCGGCTGCTTGCGAGAATGCGCCGACACGCCAGGGAGTAAATGCTCGATTCTTTCCAGCATGGAGTCTGTGTTGCACCACAGGCTTCATGTACTAGTCTTGATATGACGTTAGGACACCTTTTCCTTTCGTGGCCTCGTCCAATTGGCTTTTGCCCAGCTTCTGGCTCAAAGACTCTTAGCTGCCTTGGCTTAGCTTCTCACCGACCAATGGAGGCGACAAGGGACGGCAAGATCGTGGATGGCCGGATAGCACTGTCCACAGCTCTTTGGGACACTAGCTTAGAAATGCCCGGTCGTCAGGATGCTACTGAAGTCGATGCACGGGATGCCAACACGCCGGACAAGTGGGTTAAGCGTCATCCGGACATGCTGCGCAACACTGGTATGCATCCTTTCAACTCGGAGCCACCTCTCAAGAACTTGCAGGCAGCGGGTTGGATTACACCCCCTGCTTTGTATGTGGTTCGAAACCATGGAGCAGTGCCACAGCTCTCCTGGTCCGAGCATCGGCTGAAGATCACAGGAGTCCCAAAGCCGGTGGAGCTAAGCATGGAGCAAATCACGTCTGGTGAATGGGGCACCATTGTGTCAATCCCAGTGACCTTTATCTGTGCCGGAAATCGGCGCAAGGAGCAGAACCTCACCAAGAAGACGGTCGGTCCCTTGAAAAGATCAATCAGTTCGTTTCCTTTTGAGTTGAGTTGTTTTCCTTCACTCTGCACTTCGGAAAGTCGGGTGCGCGCGCCACCAAGGATTCGATTGGGGAGCCGGTGCCGTTGGAAACTCCGTGTGGACAGGAATCCGCCTGTGCGACTTGTTGGCCGCGGTTGGCATTACACGGCCTTCGAAAGAGCATCGCTTCGTCCATTTCGAAGGTCCTCTGGGCGAGTTGCCCCAAGGGAAAACGGGATCCTATGGCACTTCCATTGATTTGGGCTGGGCGCTGGACAGGGAGCGAGATGTGCTGCTGGCTTTCAAACAGAACGGAGAGCAACTTACCCCGGACCATGGCTTTCCTCTGCGAACGCTGTTGCCGGGTTGCATCGGTGGCCGGATGATCAAATGGCTCTCTAGCATGTGGGCTTCTTGTTTGCAAATCTTGAAGAGGAGACTGTTTATTTCCTGCTCATTAGCACTGTTTCGCTTGCTGCTGGTAGCTAAGAAGCGAATCACGATTAAGAGAAGCTCGACAGTGTGTTTGCACCATGTCGCTTGAGCTTGAAAGTGAGCTGCACCTCCCTCAAATCTAGCCATGCCAACAACCACTTCCCCTTCCCATCCATGCTAGACGGGCAGAGCTTGAGACCGCTACCATGTCCCATGTCTCGCGTCCAACTCAAAAGCTCAAGCCCCACTGTCCTCGCGGAAGGTGTAGACCTTCCTTGGCCACTCTTCGCCAATCTGAAGGATCTCTCCGGAAGTCGTAGATTTCGGTCGATTCCTTCCCAACCGATCGACGGAGTCCTCTCACAGCTCTTCACTTCATGTCACTTCCACTTGGCAATATGCTTGCACACTGGACACATACTTCATCGTGTTCGCCTACGCAAATGGTCTGCTCCTCTGAAAGCTGAGCTGATTACGCTCACAACGGCCCTTGAGACTGAGCGCTTGAAGACTCGCGGCTGGCTTTTGAACTCGAACCCACTCTCCTCGAAGACACCTCTTGGAGCCTCGTAGTATCTCTGAGTCTCGCGGAGGTCTCGCATGCTTTACTCGCCTCCTAGTGTCCTAGCGTGTTTGATGCCGAGACGGCATCGCAAGGCCACCAAATCGCGGCTTGGGCTCGCAGCTGCTCAGAAGTGGAAAGAAGCATGACCTCCATGTCTCCAAAATGTCCATTGCTTCGGGAATTACTCATCACATTGAACCTTCCCAGTGTGGGAACCACGTCCGCTTTCCATATCCCCCAAGGTCTCAGACAAGCCTTCCGAGAACCACTACCATTACTTCGACAACCGAGTGCTTCCGCCTCATGTTGATGCAGATCTTGCCTATGCAGAGGGATGGTGGTACAAGCCTGAGTACATCATCAACCACATGAACATCAACTCGGCGATGTTCGAGCCGCGTCACAACTCGTTTGTGGAAGAGAAGAACTTGCCCAAAACCCTCAAGGTCTCGGGATACGGCTACACTGGTGGAGGTCACAAGATCATCCGAGCAGAGATCTCTTTGGATTCGGGCAAGTCTTGGGAGATCACTGAGCTCCAAAGGCCGGAAGATGAGATCGCAGAAGCACGAGGAACTGACAAGCACTGGTGCTGGGCTTGGTGGGAAACGGAGGTTGACATGAGTCGTCTCTTGGATAGTGCCTGCGAAGAGATTTGCTGCCGCGCTTGGGATTCCAACCAGAATTGTCAGCCTGTGCAACTCACTTGGACAGTTATGGGCATGTTGAACAACCCCATTTATCGCATCAAGATCCACCGGGAAGGCAGCAGGATGTGGTTCGAGCACCCAACTCAGGGCTCCATGCCAGGCGGCTGGATGACTGATCAGGCAGGTCAGTTCAACGAAAGCTTTGCAGTGGAGGCAACACCGGGGAAGACTGGCGTGGCTCCCTTGCGGCCAGTGGCTGCAGTGTGGAAGGGTGCCAAGATAGACTCCGTGAGTGCTGCGGGTGCCAGTTCTGCCAGCCAAGCTGCGGCCATCCAGCCTACCAAGGCCGGCAAGTTGGTGAAGTCCACGGAGGAATGGCTTGCAGGAATCAGCATGGAGGA